ATGTTACTAATATTGTCATGTATTGTATAAGCTTATATAAGATACATATCACATCAGCTAATGCCAAAAGGTTAAATTCAATATCCTAATAGGATCAAATCAATTGAAGCTTAGGTTACATGCATGGGAACCTCACATATATCTTCATCAATTATTGAAACAATAACGTTAAAGGATGTTTGCCAGGCTCTTCTAAAAACAGATCTAAATTCTCCCAGTGTTCAACAATATATGGGATTTTGTTAATATTATTTTATTACATTTTTAATTATTAATTATTTTAGTCCGATTTTAAATGATTTTTTCACCAACTCTGTATCACAAGTATGATACAGATTTTAAGATGCCGTGTAAATTGATGCACACTGCCACTTTAATTTGATCAAGAACAATGTGGTAATCTATCTTTAATTCTCAGAAACATAGAGAAAAGGTAAGCTTACAAGATATAAGTTTGTTTTATATACACTTTTAAGTTGTCAGTTTATAAATTATGATAATTGATTAGTATATTTTTTATCTTTGTAGATAGCTGAGCAAAGGAAGAACAAAGTTAAATGGATTAATGAGTGTCTCAGAAGTCAGTATCAATTCAACTGAGGACATTACATTTAGAGGACATTACATATAGAGGACAGTACATCCTAAAGGACATTCACTTCCTTTATTCTTGAAATATTGTGATAGAAGTTGTCAATCATTTCAACTAAGGACATAACAATCCTGAGAAATTCACCTTGCTTCTGATATATATATATATCAGCACAGAGAAAAGCTCCAAAGTTTCAAAGATTTTGTCCTTAGCAGAGGTCACTTCATTCTACATGTGAAAATTTAGTAATGGTGTCTAAAAGAAAAACACACATTAACACATGACATTTCACTCACTCAGTTATCTCATATGGTGATTCAGAAGCTACGATTCCCATCTCACCAGTAGTAGAGAGAAATTAACTATCGTTTTGATAACTGAGACACTTGAATAGAGACATTGCTATCTCTGAGATAAATTCACTTTCAATTTCTTTCATCAGAAGTGAAGACTGAGGCAATTCAAGAGACAGTTCCATTTCAGTGATCCAATTAATGTGATTTTTTGTAATTATTCCTCAGAAGTGACAACTGAGACTATTGAATCAAAGGACAATTTATTCTCAGAAACAGAAACACTCAGTTATCAGTGGAGGAATTCAAATTAGGAAATCTGAACTATAGGACCAGTGTATAATATGTAGTACGACATGTATTATTATCTAGTTTTTATTTATGCCTGTTGACCTTATGGAGTGGATTATTTATATTGGAAGTGAAATGTTATAACAGAATCTAGTTATTCTAGTCTATGTTTACATTATTGGTTTATTTATACATGTAAAGGTATGTTATTGATTTTTAATGATTTTTTATCAACTAGTTTATATAATCATTATGATAACATCTTTGCATTGGGTGAATTTAATTTCTCTCCCTGTAAATTCAAAGGAAGCTGATAATTTACTACAGTCTCACAAACTTTACTCTGGTCATTTGTGACTGTATGTGTATGAACTTCAATCTGTATTTTTTCATTTTTTATTTTGTGTTGTCTTAAATGAAATATGAATCAATTGAGCCAGTTTTCAGAGGTGCTCTATGCTACGAAATGAACAGTTTAACATCAAAGTAAAAATGATTTTTTTCTATTATCTTACTAGTCCAAAACAATTTAATTGGCTGCATATTATGTGACATAGAATATGAGATGCATAACAATTTCATCAGATCATGGATGGCATGTGGATTCAACCATAGAAAAACTACCAAACAAAACATATAGATTGGGGTTTTAATCAAATGGATGAAATTATTCAAATGTTTTTTATATTTTCAGAAGCAATAATGTGATGTTCTATCAGTATATACTATGTAGTATTTTTCTATGGCAATGTCTAGTATGATGGTGATGGACAACATTAAAAATAATAATAGTCTGATGAGAAAAGTAATAAAAATGGTTTAACAGTTGATATAATGTACTGGATATATTGATCTATTAAATAATATCAATATTATTAGAAATATTATCACTGGTACCAGTTTAATAACATCATTTTACTGGTAAGTTTTTTTATTGACTCTAGTTATATGCACAGAATGGCAATATATACCATTCATTATTTATAAGGAGAATTCTGATATTAGGATGAAACTGACTTTAAAGGGACTAGTGCACCATTTTTTTCAATCATACTCATTTTTTTTAGCTGAGGCAATCTGTTATAATTAGTGTCGAGAATTATCTGTGATTGACTGTTAAAATGACGACTCGTCATAATTAAAAAGACATTTTAGAAATAGTAAGTAAAATTCCTCATTTGACGTATTTTAAAGGATTTATGCGATTTTCTTCCATTTCTAGTACTTCTGAAGACTATTTACATATATTCAAGACTAGAACCAACCCCCAAATTGGTGCATATGTCCCTTTAAAATTCCATTTATGAGTGATCACCAACCTTACCCCAAAGTAGATTGATTAAGTGAAAAAACTTGATTTATGTGAATATGTTGTTAAATTGTCATAATACATCTGAAGAACAGTTTCAAAATGGATAGAATCAATAATTGCTAATGGAAAGCAAAATACTTCTAAAAGAACAAATGATATTGTTTTTAAAGGGACAGATGCACCATTTTTTTGACCAATTATAACTCAGAAATTTTTACCTGAACCAATCAGTAAAATTGAGCTTTCAAATCCATGTGTGTACAGAATTATTTGCAAATGAATGTTAAAATGACGACTCATAATTTCTTGTTTGTCTGCATAGAAAAGACATCTATAGAAATAGGAAAAGAAATTCCTAGTTTGAGATATTTTTGAAGGAATTATAAGATTTTCGTACATTTCTTGCAATTCTGAAGACTGGATTTATTGGATATATAGAGATTGTTTCTCTTCTTTAGTCCAACTGATGAATATATAAGCTTACACACTTGTTAAACAAGTTTGAGACTTGAAATTAAGAGGTAGTATTCCTTTAAGAATTTTCAATAAAGAAAACTTATGTCCTAAGATGGCAATAAATAGAACGGAATATCTAGATTATGTCATACATGTGCAAATATTGTCAATAGAATTTTCTACTCCCACTCAAATGGACTTAAAATGGGTGTGTTCGGTGAATGATTGATTTCTCCTTAATCATGTTTATATTTCCAATCAGACACTGTTATAAGATAAAGAACAAGAATTAATTTAAGAAAATATCCAAAATCAATAATACTATTTTAAAAACAATGTGTTTATTGATTTATAAAAGATCTATAAATAGTTAATGTAAATTGATGTTTTGGTGTACATCATTCTTTTGAAGCTGAAAGGATGATGGTGATTACTGTACAAGCCCATATTTTGAATAAATAGTTCTCTCAAGAGCAGTTTGAATTTCCAAAATTATCAGAGAACCAGCTACAGAACTTCAAACATTGTTAGATGATATTGCTACTTATGATGAGCTATTTCCATTTGTTATCAACATTCAATAACACATCTTTAAACTTTGGCGTTTTTATACGCCCACATTATAATGTCGTCACCCATGTCCATCGGTCCGTCTGTAGGTCCTTCTGTCCACAATTGGCTTGTGAGCGCGATAGAAACTACAGTTTTGGTGTGATCATTTATATTGATGAGATCTTGCCCACGATTTTTCGACAAACGGTTTTTGAGTTATTGCCCTTGACTTAGCCAAAACACGTCAAACTTGGCTTGTGAACACGATAGAGACTACAGTTTTCATCTGATTTGAATGAAATTTGGTGTGATTGATGAGATCTTGGACAAGTTCCATATTCACGATTTTTCACGATTCACGAGTTATTGCCCTTGATTTATGAAAAACACGTCAAAATTTGTTTGTGAACACAATAGAGACTACAGTTTTCATCCAATTTAAATGAAATTTGGTGTGAATATTTATAATGATGAGATCTTGATCAAGTCTGAAGTTTGCTATATTACGATGAACGGTTTTTGAGTTATTGCCCTTGATTTATGAAAAACGCGTTAAAAGTAGAGGTGACAGTGATGTCAGAATTTTATTAAATAATGTGTCCTTGTTTAAATCAACAATATCTTAAATTTTTTGTATGATTTAATATAGATAGGTGAGTGCCCTTGATATACTGAAAATGTATCAGGAAAGTGGGCGTATCTTGCTAGGCAACCTCTTGTCACCTACTAAAGAGGATTGTAAATAAAGCCTGCCACAGACGAGAGGAACTAGCTGAGCGGCCTGCCTCGTGTGGGCTGAATATTTAGTGAGATTTTTGCCTGTAAGGTTGTCACGCTGTGAGGAAAATATCTATCTTGTTTGATATTTTCTACCTCAAGATGCCAGAAATTCATGGTGTGCGGGCGTCTAGCTGCCAGCTGAGCTAGAAAAAGTATCACATGGTATCATTATGGTAACCGTGTATGATGCAATTTTAGTAGATCAACTTGCTGAACATAGCAAGACTACACATCTATAAGCCTACTATACGTGTTATTCTGCGGATTTAAAAAAACAGGGAGATGAGGCAGGCAGCTCAGCTAGTTCCTCTTCAGCAGGCTTAAGAGGTTTTCAGAACTTTTTATGTGTATGAGACTGATAGCATCTATGTGCACCATCCAATTTTCAGACATCTGTGGGGTTTTTTGTAATTCCCCTTTAGCTATGTGTTTTATGATGTAGGTATATCGCATTAGGACCCCGTTGCTTGAAAATTTGTACAACTAAACTTTTACAGTCGTACGTTAATCTATGTCCAGACCCTTAGATGTTAAAACCAGCTTTTGTCTAGCATGACATCATCAAACTCTTATATTCTTATTTTCATAGTCATCTGTTCCATATCTATGGTGTCAATCTTGATCTATTTATGCAAATAAATCTGGAGAATATCAGCATATCAAAATAAAGATTTGAAACTGTATTATTTCATTTCAGACAGAGAGATATAAAGAATAATTGAGAATGTTAGTGAAGGAATATAGAATATCACTACCTATGAGTGTAGATGAATATAGAATTGCTCAGTTATATATGATACAGGTAAGCCCTACGACTTTTCTTCATAATGCACATTCATGCTTCACTTACATTTGAGGGGATGTTGTCGATAATCGTCCAGAAACGATGTTGGTATAGCTTCCAATTTTAATTCTGAATCAGAAAATGTTACAAATATTGGAAAGATACAGCTGAGTAATTCACTAAGGCCAATTTTTCATACCAAAGCTGTGGTAAGACGTACAAATAAACAAATGCCCATTTTTGTGGACAGGCCATGGAACCAATCCTTTTTATTCAAGTCGTTAGGTAATTTGTATGTAGAAATATAGAATCAAGCAGAGATCATTGCAATATCTAATTGATTTGCATGCATTTAGCACACATAAATAAATACATAAAGTCCAAATACACTTTTAGAATTTTCTATTATTTGGAAGGTCAACATGGCTTGTATTAAATAGGAATTGATGTAAACTGAACTATTAGTAATAGACTATTATACATAATAAAAATATTTAATAGTGTTATACAGGCATCTATTCAGTTGAAAATGATGCAAACTTAAAGCGTTCAGTGTAAATTTATAATTTAAATGCATTGAGTGGCTATATGGTTTTATTACCAAGATTTATGGCCATTTTCTTATTTTTCTCTGATATGAAAGCTATAAAATTTCTCATGTGTGAGATAGAATAGATAAAATCAAAGAGTTAAATGTTTTTAGAGGGAATATTAGGTTGAAATTAGGTATTAAAGTGAAAATGATATTGTGAATAGCTTAAATTACTCTTTAATATTACTCTGGTAGTTTCAGTCTGTGAGGGAATAGATATATATATAATTCATGACTTTTAGGGGGCTAATATGAGGATTTACCGATCTGAAGAATGTAATATTTACTGAGGCCAGCAGTTTCTAAGTCCATGTCATCTGAAAACAAAATTCCATAAAATGTTTTATTAAAGGAACAGTTCACCATCTGTTTCACCAATCGTACCTTCATCTCACTGTTGAAATTTCAAACCCAGAATTACCCGCGTTTGATAGTTAAAATGACAACTGGTCTTTTCTTAAGACTTTGCCATATGATTTGGAAGAACTTTATATGCAAATCAACCTCCAAAAATGAATCTGTCTCTTTAATTGATTATATTTCTCCGGGCAATTTCCCTTATACTCGTTTATTATTTATAACAAGAATAACGCAATAAAGAGAAATTTCAATATGGTTTTGTATTGCTATGAAAATGATAGCATGAAGTGAGAGGTTCTGAACCTTTAAAGATTTAGATGTTGAAACTTAATCATTTAGATATCTGACAAAAATAGTTGTGTGGGTTGTGTTTCTCTAACTGAATTTCTTTATACTTGTATCATAAAAAGTGAGTGCAATAACCTCTAGAAATATTATCAAATGAAAGTTTCCATTCTACGATATATTCATATTGACCAGCTGCTCTAGACAAAACCATTAAAAAACTGTTTAAATTGTAAACAAATTGATATCTGTAATCAGCTGTAGATTAAAAAGATTAATGGTTTATGGTAATTATTAGTTAGTGAACAGTTGTTGCTTTCTATGTTTTCATTTGATGTTCTGGGTAGATTCTAACAAATGGTGTTAGCTGCATTAAACACATCTTCACAATGTCAAGTTATCAAGAATCTTTGAATTTGAGGTTAAGCCTTCATGCCTGTGCCTGTGCTTTCTTAACATTACTTAACAGCAATAATACAACCTAAATTTCTTCAGAATAATTCAAATTCTCACAAATATGGATTTTCATTTCAAGTATTCAAATTATATTATATTATTCCAACTAACTGCACAAACAATACTTTCTCACTAGAGGTTTTATAGCCTACATGCCTATGCCTGTGCTTTTGTAACATTAGTTAACTGTAATATTACAACCTTAAATTCCTAAGAATTCTCTGATTCTAATTACCAGATATTTCTTATTGAATATTGATAGTTACTGATACCTGTAAGAGTCCATGAATAAACCTGACATTTGCTGTAATTGAAGCCAATGCTAAAGAATAATTATCAAAGATATCATATCAGTATGATATATGTAATCTCAATAAATGTTTTATAGTTAATACATACTGTGCATATTACACATCAGTTTAATGTCAACACAATTAGGTTGATTAAATATTTCACTAATATTTGGCAATTGATGTCATTAAAAGTGAACCCTAAAAAGAGAATGCAATATTGACTTGTCAATAAATAATTCTACCTCAGATCTAAAAGTGATTACAAGTTAAAGATGGGATTCCTTATTTTTAGTGTCAAATTAAGCAAACATTTCATTAATTGGTGTTTCTAATGAATTATCATATATTCTTATTGGGGAAAGGTGCACCATTCTTTTTGATCAATCATACTTTAGTCTCAGAAACAGGAATTTTTTAGCTAAGCCTTCAAATCCATGTGTGTCCAATTTATCTGCAATTGAATGTTAAAAAGACTTCTCCTCAATTTAAGATACTCTGTGATATATAGAAAACACAGTAAAATTCCTAGTTTGAAGTATTTTTAAAGGAATTGTGTGATTTACTTCTGAAGACTATTTACATATATTCAAGACTCAAAAAAGAGATTTCAATATTGACGTGTTAATAAATAATTCAACCTCAGATCCAATAGTGATTACATGTTAAGGGTGACAAAATGTTGTAATTTCAAGGTGTTAAAAGGAAGTAAATGTTGATTAATTTGTTGAGGTAAAAAGTTACCTTTATTTGTGTAATATGAATGATTAGAACATGCACCTCTAGTGTGAATAGATAACAATGATACTACACATTGGTGGCATAGTTTGAATAATCTTTATGACAATCAAAGCTGTAATTATAAAACTCAGCGGTGGGTTCGTTTTGCTGCATTGCCCAACTTGCCGCATCATGCCCAACTGCACAAAAACGACTTGTCCAAATTATAAATAAAAAGTAAATTGATGCGGGACAACAGATTAAAATATTTCGTTTCATGTGAAACAAATGGTCATTCCAGAGTTTATCAGAAACCTTTAGTTTCGTTTTACAAGTCGTTTTTGTGCAATTGGGCACGATGTGGCAAGTTGGGCAAGGCGGTAAAACGAATCCACCAAAAACTCAGTTACTTTTAAAACAATAGATACAAATGACAAGGAAATCCATAATGAATTTAGAACAGTTTACACAATAGTTCTTTGAAAAATTCAATTTTATCTGAATTGTATTAAAAACATCCAAATAGTTGGATTCAGTTAATTACAGAATACAACTCAGTAATCAAAAACCATAATAATTAGTAGAATTGATAGTGAGTTGTATTAAAACATCTCAATAGATTCAGTTGATTACAAAATACAACTCAGTAATCAAAAACCATAATAATTAGTAGAATTGATAGTGAGTTGTACTTAAAACATCTCAATAGATTCAGTTGATTACAAAATACAACTCAGTAATCAAAAACCATAATAATTAGTAGAATTGATAGTGAGTTGTATTTAAAAACATTTCTATAGATTCATGTAATTATAGAATACAAATCTATAATCAAAAACCATCAAATTCATAGAAAAAGTGCAGTTAAACAGAAAACATTTTATTGTCCTTATAAAAATGATCAAGACCAACTTTCAATATAGTGCCCTGCTATTATTTTTTATTGGTTAAAATTAATGAAAATGCTTGAGACCAACTTTCAATATAGTGCCCTGCTATTATTTTTTATTGGTTAAAATTTATGAAAATGCTTGAGCCCATTTTCATTCACATGCAAATAAATAGTACTACACTATCATCCTGTATCTGATGTATTAAATTAATGTTTTGTAGAAAAAGAGTCGAGAGGAGAGTGAGGGTACTGGTAGTGGTGTAGAAATATTAGTTAATGAACAATATGAAGATGGACCAGGTGGTAGTGGTCAATATACTTATAAAATATACCATATTGGTAGTCACTTACCAGGTATGTAATCAATATACCTATAAAATATACCATATTGGTAGTCACTTACCAGGTATGTAATCAATATACTTATAAAATATACCATATTGGTAGTCACTTACCAGGTATGTAATCAATATACCTATAAAATATACCATATTGGTAGTCACTTACCAGGTATGTAATCAATATACCTATAAAATATACCATATTGGTAGTCACTTACCAGGTATGTAATCAATATACCTATGAAATATACCATATTGGTAGTCACTTACCAGGTATGTAATCAATATACCTATAAAATATACCATATTGGTAGTCACTTACCAGGTATGTAATCAATATACCTATAAAATATACCATAATTGATAGTCACTTACCAGGTATGTTACCAATATACCTATAAAATATACCATATTGGTAGTCACTTACCAGGTATGTAATCAATATACCTATAAAATATACCATAATTGATAGTCACTTACCAGGTATGTTACCAATATACCTATAAAATATACCATATTGGTAGTCACTTACCAGGTATGTAATCAATATACCTATAAAATATACCATATTGGTAGTCACTTACCAGGTATGTAATCAATATACCTATGAAATATACCATATTGGTAGTCACTTACCAGGTATGTAATCAATATACCTATAAAATATACCATATTGGTAGTCACTTACCAGGTATGTAATCAATATACCTATAAAATATACCATAATTGATAGTCACTTACCAGGTATGTTACCAATATACCTATAAAATATACCATAATTGGTAGTCACTTACCAGGTATGTAATCAATATACTTATAAAATATACCATATTGGTAGTCACTTACCAGGTATGTAATCAATATACCTATAAAATATACCATATTGGTAGTCACTTACCAGGTATGTAACCAATATACCTATAAAATATACCATAATTGATAGTCACTTACCAGGTATGTTACCAATATACCTATAAAATATACCATAATTGATAGTCACTTACCAGGTATGTTATCAATATACCTATAAAATATACCATAATTGATAGTCACTTACCAGGTATGTTACCAATATACCTATAAAATATACCATAATTGATAGTCACTTACCAGGTATGTAATCAATATGCTTATAAAATATACCATATTGGTAGTCACTTACCAGGTATGCACTACATCATAGTTATGTGGCTTTTACGATCTCAATCATTCTGGGCTTTCCTGAATATCTTCAGCACAATGGCTTCAATTTTCTGAGGAACTGGTTCAATGTGTGATGCCCCTTTCACACTGCAAAAGTAATTGGGTTCCAGTTCCATCCACCAAATAACTTCAAGTTTCTCTGGCACTGGCAAATAAACCTATTGAGTTAAGTTACTCTAAAACATTTGTGGTGTAAGCACTTTTTTGGCCGGAGTTCAAAAGCTTTCTCCTTCATTATTCCAATTGATTTAAATAGAATTTAATAGGTATGGATAATCTGGAAAAGATCATTGTGTTAAGACAAGCTAGTTGTTAGCATCCTTGAGAATCTAAGGTTTTGAATTCTTCTAAAATGTGCTTGTCTCTTTTTGTAAACTCACTCAGCCACTCGATAAATACTGGTAGTTACAGGCAAGTCATCAGAAATTCTTTAAATTAGTTAAGTCATTATTATATCTTATATTTTTTTGCAGGCTGGTTTAGGGCTATTTTACCTAAATCTGCGTTAAGAGTAGAAGAAAAGGCATGGAATGCTTATCCTTACACCAAAACATGTTATAGGTGTCCATTTGTAGAGAAGTTTTTAATAGAAATTGAAACTATTTATGCTAATGATGGTGGTGAACAAGAAAATGTATTTAAATTATCACCTGCTGAGAAAAGACAAGCATCTATTGGTAAGTAATGTATATTTGTCAACATTGTTGAAATGAAAAATGGCTTTGAAGTGGCTGCCAAAGATTCCAGAAGATTTCTTTGTCTTGGAATTCTGGTAAGTCTGTACATTTATCAGACATCCTTTCCTGATTCTTTCAGTCCAACACTTAAATAGATGTCTGCTAGATATTCTAAACTCTTTTGGTTCCATGGATGATGATTCAAAGCCTTCCTTTCATTTTTTATACCAATGTTTTGGAGATTGGGTCCAGTTTCAGCTATCACTTCCTTCCTACCTACTTACAATATTCTTGTCTCTTTTCAGATTACCTTGATATAGTTAAAGATCCAATATCTGGTGGTGATTATAAACAGGAGGAGGATCCAAAATTATATCAATCAATTAAAACTGGGCGGGGTCCACTCAATGACAATTGGAGGCAAGAATACTCAGAAGCATGTAAAGCAGGAAAATTAGGCAGTGGGCGGGCCATTATGACAGCTTATAAAGTGTGTAGGGTGGAGTTTAAATATTGGGGTATGCAGAATAAAATAGAGAGGTTTATACATGACATTGGTAAGTTTTCAAGCTTTGATTATAGTGTTTGTGCCCTTGGTCTCCGAGAACATGAAAGGAATTTTTAGCTTTATTGAAGAATTTTTGCAATATGATTAAAAATGAGGAATTAGCTGAACTGAATTGGTTGCATTGTAGTTTGCTATACTTACACTCTGTAATCTGTATAAATTGTTACAGACTATGAGTTGTAGGTCACTAAAATATTCAACCAATTAGATACTCTATTCAATAATTTATCAACCATCTGCAGTGATTTGGTTGTCCATTATTATTTGGGGAATGCCTGTTGTGTAGTTGGTTAGAGTGTTAGAATCTTTATGTCATTTTTTGGTTACTCCTAATGATTGGTGGTCCTTGGTTTAAATCTTGGTAGACATATCAAAGCCCTTGTGACCTTGAATAAGTCATTCTATATCATTATTCCAATCAACCAAGCTGTCAATCTGGGAAAGATCAATGTCTGGAGACCTGACCGAGAACCAGCTGGTAGACAAGATTCTTGTGGAACTAAATTGTTATCCTTGTGAAAAAATATTTTTGAGTTTTTTTTTTCCATTGGCACATTTTTAACTTTTTATGTTCTACTATCATCATTTCAGCTTTAAGAAAAACCATGTTAAGAGCACATCGTCAAGCCTGGTGCTGGCAAGATGAATGGTATGGACTGACCTTAGCTGATATCAGGAATCTAGAAAGAGAAACAGCTCTGGCTCTGGCAGAGAAAATGGCTGCTGCCATTGAAGGAGAAGGAGCGGATAATGAGAACAATGAAAACAGAACACATAGTAGAGGAAGTAACAGAAGGGAATCCATTCCAATTGCTGAAACACCAACTAATAGCATGGAACCTCTTGGTGGTTCCAAGACTCCTGATGGTTCTGGCTCTTTGATTAATGGACATTTTGAAACTAGAGGATCTCATTCTGCACTAAGACCAAATATGGGTAGGTAAATTTTATTCAGGAAAATGGCAGGATTTGCAGCTGCCAGGAATAGAAAAAGAAGTTTCGAAATAGTCTAAGATTATAATGACAAAATTTGGAATATTTTCATGTGAATAGAGTGTTTAAATCATTTACAAATAATCGGTGAAATTTAATTTGCTGACAGAAGTATTGAGATTGCAGGAATTCTAAGATTTCGGTTATCCAAATCAAACCAGTGCAGAACTGAGTTTATCGAAAACTCAATTGCTATAAATCATGGTATTACTGGTAATTTCAGGTTCTGATAGAGAATTAGCTAATTGGAGAATGGAAAGTCTTGAACAATTGCAGGAATCTTACTCTGATTCTGATGAGGAATTTTTTGACGCTTCAGGTGAGTGTAGAGATATACTTAGATATATGATGTCAAACCTTGATATTGTTACTTGTTTTTTCATGACTTCTAACTATACATAAAATTGTGATGTAGTTTGTGTTGTTAAATATTCAAATGCAGGTATAGGTAAGAGTTACATATACAGACATTCATTTATATAGCAAAGATTTTGCTCTGTTATGAGAAATGTTACCACTAAATTTATTGATTGAATGTTGAATTAAGATACCGCGAGCCAATACACATTTTGTATCTGAACAGTCAAATGTAAAGTTATTAAGCATTTAAGCACAATAGGAAGCAAAATGTCTTAGCTAATGGTTAGATGCCACATTCTCCTTAGGATGTCCATGTAGATGTCAAAGCAATCTAATATACTAACCAAATTGTGCAATTTTTTTATCCTAAATCTTACCAGTAACAGGAAAAGGTCAATAAAATTTGATTCTATTTTGGTGATATTATTCATTTATCTATTTAACCACAAAACTTTTTTTCACTTCAAAAACTTTTTTAGCACTCATTTTCAGGCTTAGTTATTTGTTCCTATTTGGTTTGTGATTTTTTAAGGAGCTTTGTTTGATACAGTAGTTTGAAACATATCTGTGATAAAGCTCAAACCCTAATAGAAATTCTCAGTAGTTTAAACTTGGAAAAGTATCATTAATAACAAATGTAATCATAATGCATATATTGCACATTCATAGGATATGAAGTTTTTAGCCTTTGTAATCCACCATTTTGGCTCCTTTGTCTACTGACACATATTGGAAAGCAATATAACTATTTTAAGGGTGAGCTTATCACAAGTATGATAATTATCTAATATGTTTAATTTAGATTATTTTTAGCTGAGGAATTGGACAAACTATATTTTATCACCCTGCAAGAAACTGCTTTTTTCTTTTTCTCACCTTTTTATACGCCCACATCTCTCTATGTCCGTCGGTCTGCCCGTCCGTCAACATTTGCTTGTAAACGCTCTAAAAACTAGATTTTTTGATGGAATCAAATGAAATTCGGTATGTGTATACATATTCATAAAACGTAGATCAAGTTCGAATTTGAGCTATTTTCAACCGTTAGAAGCAGAGTTATTGCCCTTGCCCCAAAATCTTGAATATTTACCATCCACATGGTGGGCGTATATGGCTGTGGTCTTTATATTTCTTAATTGTTCTTCAACTGGTAAATGATATATATATGCTTTCCCTTTATATATAAATAATATGTATTTTGATAATGTAGTGAAACTTTAAAGGGATTGTTAAGAGATTTTCTAAAGTTTTATGTGTGTTTGGGAAACTGATAGCATGGAATTGCATCATTTGAATTTCCATCTATGGTTCTAGAAATTCCAATAGATATCAGGTCACTTTTGCAAAAAGGACCTTTGTAATAATGATGTCATAAAACACTTTTACTGAAAATTGGAATGATGCAAATCAATGCTATCAGTGTCCATGATACTCTTCAGAAGTTGAATGGAGAAATCAGGTTGCAAATTTTCCAGGTATTATCTCGATCTAGGCCCTAATTGAATATCAGACACTAGATACGTGAGCAGGCGTCAAATATACTGAGCCCTCCAGCTGCCATGGAATAAGTAGGGTGACCCACAATAAAATATAACTGAATATATAATATAATTATTGCAAAATTTATTACTGAATTGTTGGAAAAATCACTCAAAGTGATCTTAAAGGCCATGGTTCACCATTTTCAGAGGTTGATTTGGACTTTGAATATATGTAGATATATTTTAGAAGTACCAGAACTGTATGAAAATCACATAATTCCTTCAAATAGACCTCAAACTATGAATAATTTGTTTTGTTGTTCTCTTTCATTAGTCTATCCTCTCCCTGGAATTAGAGTACCTGAAAATTGTTTGCCAGGTTGACAAGGTCTATGATAGGAAAATACAGTTTATATTTGATTATTCAGTCCTTTATAACCATTCTGCATTATGGCGAGTCTTGAAAAAGGCAAGTCATCAATGTAATTTGACACAACATGTAGAATATAGGCTAATTTAGTTTGAAATTACCCAGATCTAGTTTACAGTGTGCTGGATCAATAATCTTCACCTATACCACTTTCAAATTCAAATTATTATCTTGTAATTCAATTACTAGGAAATCTGCAACAAATTGTCTTTAAAAGGAATCATGCTAATATAATTACTTCTTTCTGCAGTTCTTAATAAATTATAAACCTTTGGCATTTGACATTCGTTTTAGGTGTGTAATTTTTTAACTCTCTCTTTGTGAATTTTTTAATACTATTATAAAAGCTATATGCTGCACAATATCATTCATAGATGCAGATTCATTATGAACCAAATTCTAAATAAATTGTATTAAACCTTTGGCATTTGATTAGAAAGACATTCACTTTATCATAAGGAAGAGAGACTTACAAAATTACACGTAGTTTTTTACGCCCACATCTAACATCAATTGCTCGTAAACACCAGAGTGTTTGAAGGAATCAAATGAAATTCAGTATGTGTTGACATATTCATAAAACGAATATCAAGTACGAATTTGAGCTATTTTCGATTGTAAGAAGCAGAGTTATTGCCCTTACCCCTAAATCTTGAATATTTACTGCGGTGGGCGTATATGGCTGTGGTCCACTATCTTTAATTTTGTAACTCTCTCTTCTCTGTGAATATTATAATATAATTCCAAAAACTATTTCCTACACAATATCATTCATATAGATACAGATTTGACAATTTTAAATTCCAAAGAATCACATTTCTCATAGTATGATCTTATCCTTGCATAACAAAGAAAAAGAAAGAAACACCTATATTTTACAACAACTTAGGTTCAAAAAGGGTCCTTCGCCAAACTTCTTGGCATTGATCTTTCCCAGATCATCCAAACCCATATATAGCTGGGTCGACTGACTTATTCAAGAGGTCATTCAAGCTTTCCATTCAAAATTTGACTCTGAAATCAAATTTGTTTCGTCAAAAAGTTTTGTAGTTCCTTGTACCCAAATTAGTAATATTTGCTCCCCACTCCACCCACTGCCTGAGTCTAATGAATTTAAAAGTCGTTATTTTGTCTGATATATACCAAATCTGTTTAATCTAGAAGACTATAAAATCTATCTATGATATGTCTGTGACATTTATGACTTTTCTTCTCATATACTTATAAATCAATATTAAAGGGGAATGTGTGTGCTAATTTCATTAAACAAGAATTATTACAAAGTCTCCCAATAACCAATGTGTATATTTTAATATTTTGAACTGTGTAGTGAATTTATTTTTACATTAGGCTAGCTAGACCAATTTAATTTCTTTTTTTACAGAATTTTTCTGGAAACAAGGGATAAAACTTAAAGACCAAAATTTGTGTGAAGGGCAGAAGAGAAAAAAACTTACAAAGGCCAGGAATGACTTTCCTAGTATCTCAGTATCTTAAACCCTAGTGTAACTGATTTGGAAACTACAGAGTCTGATTTGTCTATGATGTATGTGGTCTTTGACAAGTGTCAAATTGGGGCATTTGATTGGATTTGATATTATGAATAGAAGGAATATAGGTATAGATTGGTTTGGAGTTTGTGTCTTTGTTCTGGTTAGTGCTGGCTATTGAAGATGTCTACTTCAGTCAATTCTTATAAGATGGTTTCTTCCAGTGTAAGATTAGGTAGTTGTTGATAGTTGGTAGATGGATTTGGATGATTTGGCACTGTTGGTTTTGTAGTTGAGAATTCATAAGTCTGGACGAATGACGGTTAAACGCATCCCATGGCGTGTCTTATAAGACAAAGTGCTTTAAGTTATATACCAGGCTAGTGATAATAATGTGACATTATTAATGGTAGACAGACTGAGTAATCTGTAATATCCCTAGATTTATGTGTATATCAAGGAAGTCAGAGATAGCTAAGAGTATAGTAATCTATTTTATTACTGTTTTGTCACCGTCTACTAACTTTCCTGCCTTTTTTTTTATCTTCATTTATCCATATATAGACATATTCTGTCTGTCTCATGAAATTTTCCAATTTATTGCGACAGGACAATTTCGTTACCTTATTTCAGATTTTAATTCAATAAGTAAAAGAAATTAATTTTCCAGTACAGTAATTCATTTACAATCTCCATTGTAATCTAACACGTTTGTTAATGCAGTTCCGTTCTAATGGCATCAATGTGTCATGTAGACTCTTTTCTTGAAAACATTTGTGGGATAGAAAAACCCAAATAGATTGTCATGCTGCTTTACCTTAGGTTTCCCATTCAATAATTTATTCGTTCAAGAAACATATTATACATGATATGCTTTGATTGGTTAAAATAACATTATTAGATATGTATTATAATTCATTCAAATGGAAGTTCAAATATACAGAGAACTATGCTCAACATCTGTGGTCAGTACATAAGCAATTCTCTAGTGTAAGCCATGTCTGGTAAAAGATCTACCTAAATGACCTTCATTGTAAAAGAGCAGACCAAATTTAATTAGAATAGATCTATAAGCTCTATTTGTATGAGAGAGTAGTATATATTTGATTAAGAGTTATTGATAAGTCAACTTAACTATGGCTTCAATTTGTCTTCTACAACCCCTAGGATAAAATAATAAGCTTATAGTCTGAAATTTGCTGTCTCTTACATGTATCAGCTTCAGAAATGTATTTGGAAGTCTGTCAAGTAGTGTTCTTTCTATCGAATAGGTCCAATTGAACTCTTCGAGAGCTCAAAAATATTGAAGTATTTAGACTAACACTTAGGCTTACTGTATTGAAGTGGTTTACATGGAAAATTCAAATAATGAACACTTAAGACTCTTAGAAAATTGGCTCAAATGTCCCTCATTGTATACTGCATGGAGAAAACAAGATAACCTAAACCCAGCACTCATTCCTTGGTTGGTGGTTTAATTGCAATCCAAAGCTTGGAAAATTCTCCTTTGCAATGATAGGAAGAGCAGACACTTATTTTTATTACCTTTATTATTAGTCTAAGAGGGAGCACACAAAAACCATAAAACT